GATTCTGTTATTCCAGTCAGTCATCCTCGGTTCTCTCGATAATTCCCATGCCCGGTTCGTTTTTCCATAATCCTCCCTTCCATTCGATCCCACCTGAGTCTCCATACCTGGCCGCCGTTCTGTTTTGTTATTTCTATACATATGACGCGCATGCGTGCAGGTAAGATTGATCGCGTGCGTACGTACGTACAGTACGTACCATGTGCCCATCGTATGTGCTCATAAACCATACAACGAGGGATCCATCGGTCCGTGACGAGTTACGCCCCTCGCAACCGCGATGTTTCCTGCGGATAGAGCTGGCTACCGGAAACCGGTTCCTCTCCGGACAGGAGGGAGCCACGGGGCCCCCCTGAGTCAATAGATCGATGCCAGACGCAATTTGACCGACTACCATAGCATTATACATAAAGCACATGCAACTGGAATGCATTGAATTTTATTCGGTCCTCGAACCGAATTCGATAACGGAGAACGAAGACAGGGAACGCGATTCATCCCATACGGTCCCCAGTATTTCCCTAAACGATCATCACGCGGTTCCCGTGCCGGAAATGATTAATCCGCTGATGTGTTTCGGATCATGGGATTATGGGATCGAATCGTCACATCACGTGGACTCGCGCAAACACTGTTCCCAGTATAGATCCTCCTCTATACCGATGATCATATTAATCGATAGAAAATAAACAGTTGTTGATCGATTATTAAACAATAAGTATGAATGATACCAAATTGGAGCTATTTAAAATTTCCATCGATGCAAAACGCATTAGAAACACCCACATGATTTCTATTCGAAAGCGATCCACATAATCATGCTGGCACGTTTAATGAATCTTCTCCTATGCAGAAAGCTGCAAACCGGAGTCCGCGTCCGACAGAGAATGCCATTCGTGAAAGCTGATGTTCAGACGATATCTCCTTCAAAGATCAAGGAAGGAATTTCGCGTCCGAAATTTTTCAAAGCGTCGGAAGCTTGGCAAAGGATATTCTATTCTCTGTAGACGAAGAAGTAGCGTCTGGGAACGAAATCCTTCCGAAACTGGCTAAGACGTCCGCTTGGACCGATCCGTCGGGTCGAATCAAACGATACTTTTTCTAGTATTCTACGGCATGGCTACTGTTTATTCTGAATCCGGAAACAGGATCTCTGTCCGTTTGTGGTCATCCGTACGCTGAAATTCAAACGGGCTGAAAATTTGATAGGACGCCCCGCCGCGGCGGTGGTGGCAGCGCAGCGTTCGCGCGGATACCTTCGGTATTATTAAGTTATCGAAACTACACACGGTATCCTAGAATTACGGGAACGGGAAATTTACTCCGTTTGGATTACACGGATCGCGTTAATTTAAAGGTAACGCCGCGCTGACTGGCCCATTTAATACGCCCACACCACGGACTGCGATGTCACGCTTGTTGACCCAGTTACCCCAATTCTTTCGTCACCTTGAGCATGAATCCCATTTCGTTGAACAGCCGTACTTTTGTGCTAAATAGGTATTTTATGTTAAGTCTTTCACGGGATGAATAGCCCGTTCTATAGATCTAGCTCGGTAATTCTATTCACTTGCCCGAGCTATTTGTTTCCATTGACCTCTGCACTTATAACGGATGCAATTTAACGATATAGTCGCCTAATCCTTGGAAAAACTAGTTTCAACGTTTATAATACTGTATTTTACTTACCGTGATGAATTTACGGCCTTAAGAAATGAATAAGGATTCGAAATCCTCTCGCATTTAGGGATACATCATTTTTATCCATAACTGCGATTCATCGTTCGACTTCGTTACTCGATTCTCTCCCGTAAAATCCGAATTCGAGGAAGAGAGTGTCCTCTGGAAAATTGGAAGTCGCGACAGCCATTTCTTACTCCCGTGCCTCTTATTCCCATCGCTCCAAGTTTCTCCGTACTCTCAGAATATTGCAGTCGTCTCTTTTCCCCCATTGTCGTAGCGCGTTTATCCTGATGCATCCCCTGTCATTCAGATTAAAAGTTAAATCCGGCACCTACAACGAAACCTTACGAGATTTACAGGATTTAATGTAGCGTTAAGCCCGTCTTCCCTATTACTTTATATGGGATTGCATCTGACTCGCGTTGTCGCAACAAGATTTGTCTGTTGTCGGATTCTATTCAATGAAAAATCTCAATACTTAATGAAACAGGCGTATTACGTCCTCCTGGATCTGAGATAAAATAATTCCGTCTACTTTTCCAGCGTTTAATACTAATTTCACGTTGACGCAGTCTGCGAATGGAGAAAAACTGGTTTATAAGACTTCATCGAATTCTTTTTCCAACTCCAGACGATGATTCGCGACGAACTAACTTCAGCTGTTTTCTTCCTTTCTTCTTTCTGAAGCCGTTTCGTGCAGTTGTACATATATCGTGCCCGAGGAACTCGAAACGAAGGATAATAAAAGAAAAAAAGCAATGTTATACGCTTGCACCCGATGCTGACTGTTCAACTTCCTAGGATTCGTTGCGGAGTATTTTCTTCTCTCTAGATCCTTCAAGAAACGTCTCTTGCCTTCAACTAAATTCCTCCCGTCGTTATTCCCCGAAACGAAACTATAGGATTTATCTTCTAATACCATTCCCGATTATTTATCAGTCCTGTCGTTACCTCAATTGTTGTAGTACGTGATAGAAACGCAGACTTTCGCGTCGGATTCGTTCAACATCTACTTTCGTTTCCGTTTACTTTTCTACGCCGAATTAACGATCATCCTTGTGCTCCTTGGGCAAAAAACTGGAACGGCAGCTCGCCAGCTTTCAGAATTAGTAGATCGAATTCCTGTGGCGCTACATAATAGTTGATGCGTGAAACGCAAACAATACTTGCGTTCAGAATTGAATTATGAATGAAACTCGCGCTCATTAATCTAATACGAGCGTCCGCTGCGTTCCACGGATACCCAATTTGCCCATAAAATCATAGGCTCGTAATTCATGCCGTAATAATACAGTGAAAAGTAATCATTGGAAAAATATCAGCTATCGTTATATTCGCAGGATGAATTTAATACCGTGAAAATCGTCGATCTCTTCTAGAAATTCGAACCTATTTTTAACATCGTTCCGTCGGTTTTAATATAATATTCATTTGCTCGATTATTCACGAGTTGATATAAAAAAAACCCTATCTCTCCGACGATATGTCATACTTTAAAATTCTGTTCATTAAATACAGCATTAAATTCATATTATGCTGAAATTCAAATTAAACTTAATTTCAGCGTATTTTGAAATCATCTCATTCGTTATTAATCACATTTAATTATATGCCGAGCGCGTTCGTCAAATAACTTGATCGTTCGAACAATTCCGTTTTTTACGATCTGTCCTGCAATGAGTAAATTAACGAGCATAAAACGCGTGGATTGTAACAATTTAATAGAGTAAATTATTTGCGCAGCGGATATTCGTTCCCGTTTCCAATTTCGAACTCCTCCTCCTCTTTCCATCGTACGGACGCTGCCGATTTCAGCGTCTATAAAATTCCGTCGATTTTCATACAGTCGCTTCAAAGGAGAGACTTACGTTTGATGGAAGAAAGAGAATTTTGCTAGGAAAAGGGAACTCCTCTATTTACGACGTGATCGAGCATTTGATATCGCACTGTAATATCTTGCGATATCGACCTTACCTATGCATCTGAAACAGCCAAGACATGTGCATACACATGTGTACATAAGTGTCACGTATTATGTGTATGTATGTTCTTCAGAGCGAGGAATATTTTATACTATAAAGCGAGTACATTTGGATACGAAGCTTCTCCTGCAGAATTTAATCAACCTTGTTTTAAAACAGTTTAATCAAGTTTGCTGTTTCCACGGTGGAGCGGCCGGATTTCGTCAGTGCCAATTAATTGCACTTAACTCGTTAAATATTAAAGTTAGAAGAAAAATGCATACGTTCTTGTAGAGGACGTCAATGCCTACAACTTCTGTATGCAAATTTTGTCGCATCAATAATTAATTAAAGAAAATAAAATTGTTTATTGCAAAAGCTTTTTCCGTCCTAGCGAAAAATGTTTCAAACAAAAGTCGTATCTGTAGTTGTCAGCTACATATGAGGACCCATACATACAATTACCTATTAATATCAGCCAGTAAAAATAATTTAAGAGTAAAAATTGCGGGGCATTCTTGAGATTGTCCATTCTTTAATAATATTCTCCTCGGTGGTGGGGCGTTAGCAATTCGAAATGTTCAAATTCAAAAACACGAGTTTCTCCTCAGGGAGACATAAACCGGCACAGTGGATGCGTAGATGGCATCTTACAGTTGGTAAAGTCTCCGGTCGGTTCCTTTTGTCGCGCACGACCGCGCTGGAATCGCGAGGAAAAGCGACCTAATATAAATTCATGTTGTGTCCCCGAAAATTACGAGCGATATCAAGCCGTGGAAACTGTTGCCAGGTCGGCCACCGTGGGACACTTTGTCTCGTTATCCTGACCGTATATCCGTTGACGGACGCGAAATAATTTAAACAAAAATTCCCTGGTTATATTTAACATTGATATTGTTAAAGAAATTCGTCGGATTTTTCTTCTTTTAAAATAGCATTATGGAAATATGACCGTTCGTAAATGTCCGTTGATATCGTTAAAGTATACGCGGTTAATGAGAAAATAGAAAAGGCGAATGCGAGACTAGCGCGGAACGCGGTCCGAGTTTTGTCATAATAAATGCATAACTCTCGCGAAGTTCCCGGCAGGAAAATGAACAGGTAGTCTCGAACGAGGGTACGTTGACGCGCTAACAAGTTACAAGAACTTCCCTGGTCTATGACGAATGCTATCTTACGTAATGAAGAAAGTTCTAAATGGAAAAGAATAAAGTCCGCGCCGAATGTTGGCTCGTAAAATTCAACGGCTCGCGTAATTCCCCACGCTGCTCGATGAGAGCTGGTGCCCACCTCTCGAGGACCGTGTCATTAAACAACCGATCTTAAACGCGCGGTTTTTCCGTTTTCCCGTTACAGCCCGTCGACTGAACGAGTACATCCGCCACTACGAGCCACTCTCCTATCCCACGGAAGAGGTCCACCGAAGTCACCTGAGGGCCAAGAGGTCGGTTACCCGCGACAATTCCGTGACTCTGAAGTTTCGCTCGCACGGAAGGGACTTCCACATTCGATTGAAGCGGGACCTGGCCACCTTTAGCAATAATTTAATTATCGAGGGCCCGTCCGGTCAAGCGGAGGACCTCGATACCTCGCACATTTACCAGGGCCATTTAGTCGGTGAGTCAAGCTTTGATCAACTTTTTTTTTTTCCTTCTTCTATATGCATGCACGATCTATTACGTAAAACTCGTGGCAACACGATAACGCGTTCGCTGCCATCGCGGGCTATCATCAATAATTATTCGAGTGTTCAATCGAATCAACCATAGCAGTAAATAATTATAAAAAATTGCACGAACGAGCTGCGATCGAAATTTAATCTTCGCGGCGGTACGTGAATCACACCACGCGCCTCAGTGAAAGGGTCATCGAACCGGCCACGAAAATTACAGCGAGAGAGCGTGCGTAAGGTCAAGGTGCAACGTTAAAGACGCCGTGGCATACGAAAGGAAAGAAAAGTATCGTTTAAGAATTCGTTATGAAAATGGTTTAAGCTTCCTATGGCATGAATCATGTTCCCTTGCTCGCACGTTGCTGCACTTTAAACTGAACCGTGTCCTCGAGCACCGGTACAGTCCATTCGCGTTCACATCCGCGCATAAGTACGTCGGTCTAACCAGATGTGGCACGCAAAAGTGCGTGTCACGGTAGATACCGGGTGAGACCTTTATTTCTAGTCTAATAATTTAGCGGGTGTTCGTGCGCGCGAGAGGAGGGGACGTTTTAAATTATGGATCGCCTCGGCTGTCTGTTAGAACGGTTTATCTTTCAGTTTTGTGTGCCGGTGTCCTCCGTCGCGATGACCCGGTTACGCCTGCGAGTTCACCGCGGAAGGGAAAAGCACGATGACTTATTTCGACTTTTGAGAGAAAAGCCGATTTAAATGATATTGATATCGAACGAAGCTTATACTGGATTTCCTCTCGCCTCGCGGTATCTACTCTGAATGCTTTTCCTTGTACTTGTTTAAACAGTCAATGCACTTAGGGTAGATTTCAATCTTTCATTCCGTAAATGAATAATTCTCACTTCGTGCCTTGGAGAAAGATTGATAATTAATTAATGTTTTGGAAATCGTAATAAATAAAGCAGTTCTATCAATCACGGTTTTATTTTTATTTTCAGGCGAGCCTGGCAGCCACGTGTTCGGGAGCATCACCGACGGTGTTTTCCATGGGAAAATTATTTCGCCTCGCGGTGGCTCGTGGTACGTGGAAAGGGCGCACTATTACTTTCCGCCGCACGAGATAAATGACACGTTACATTCTGTGATCTATCACGAAAATGACGTCGGCGACCCGTACGCCCATTTTCGAAAAGGTACGTTTACTCATTCATCTCTCTCGTTAATTTTTTCCCTCCGTTCATTTCCGACATGTACAACGATGCCGGGTTGGAAAATAAAAAATATTATACTAGACATATCTGTGAAAGCTTAAGAGCGCGATAATCTGATTAACGTGTTCACGGGATTAGCTCATAATTCGCGACAATGAAACGCCGTCATTAATCTGAATTCGATGATCGGTTGAAACGATATCCGTCTGCTGTCTGTTATTGCAACATTATCTTTAAATCGTCCGCTCGTACGATGACTATCTATACATATAGTTTTCGTTTCGTCGAGGTAAAATTGTTGAGGAGACAACCGCGACACGGACGATGCTCGGATCGATTTTAACGTCGATCATGTGCAGTCAGCGTGACTGAATATCTGAATAATTGTATCCGCAAGCGAGAGAATGCGAGTGTAGCCCATTAGCAGCGAGCAATACTCGCGGTTTCATAGCAGTGCACTCTCGATAGCCTAATGTTCCGATGAGTGCAGTTCTATTCTGTAAATGCATCGCGGCAGATGAATGATCAGCTCGAGTCAAACACAATTGATTCGCGGAATGGTATTATCCTCCGACGTTCGACGGATAGGATGCGTAACATTCTTATTCGGTTTCAATCCCTATCTGACGCGAATTGAAATTAAATTGCGAGAGATGAAGCACGGGATTCGAACTAACGTCGCGCGGAATTTATTTTAAAGAGATTCCACGTTGATCATTCGAGATCGGTGAACAGAACCGATCTCTATTGTCCCGAGCGCATTCAAGTAGCCGGCGATCTGAACGTTCGTTAAACGGGACCGCACATTTAGAAACCACGGTCGTTCTACGTTGTAACAACGTCTGCGTAGATCAGGTCGCGTCTGCATAATACAAGGCACGGCGCCACACGACCCCGCGTTTACACACTTGGACGGGCACCCCTTTCGCCACATCGCGCGATGTACATGTCCCCCCCCTTCCTCGAGTCGTCCGACGACAGTTTAGCCGGCGTTGCGAGGCATCCTTAAAGGAGCATCCAGCCGTGTACAGTTTTTAAGCGAATCGCCTTAACGACATACGCCCGGTCTGCGTAACCGACTCCGAGGTGGCGCGTGTCCGTGAATAGACGAGCCGCACGTAGACAGACGCATCCGCGCCAGGAATAGGCACGCACGTCGGTTAAAGAGTCAAACAGGTATATGCGGAATGACCAGGAAGTCGAGCTCCGTGGACTTCGCCTGAGTCACAGTTGGAGTGGCTAACGATGCAGTTTCAACCGGACGGGGAGCATTGCGCTTTTCGGTCCATTTGCCCTCGGAAAATATACACCGACTGCACTAATGCGTGTACATAGCTTCTTCTTCCGTCGAGTCGTCGTCTGGCTCACCTTTGTCTCGCACAATATTCTTGATAGTAGGAATATTTATCATATGTCGTTCAAAGGGGAACAGCATCTGGCTCCGAGCGTGAAACTTCAGAAACTCGATTCCAAGGTCTTTAAATATTGCAAGATGTAAAACGTTTCAGAGGTATCGTGAAAAGATCAGGTAGCAAGGGAAAAAGAAGTTCGCAAATAAATCATGATTGTGCATTTTCTCTCTGCTCCCTTTGCTTCGAAAGAATTCTTGAGTGACTGACTGAACGTCTGGCAACGTAGACAGTAGCATTCCCGGTCGAACCAGTTTGCCACTGTGGAGAGATTACATTTTCCGTGCGAGAGTGTCACTCTCCGGCTGTGATAGCGCGAATTCCACGATCTATTCGCGATATCATTACGCTAGGAAGTAGGGTGCATATACGAGTTATGGGGAAGCAGAGACACCCTTGTCAAAGGGTGAGAAAGCATTTTCGTTGGGTACCATAGATTTACCTGCGAATCTCGCGGTAGTCCAACTATTTAATACCGTGTTTACACCAATCCTGCAAATAATTGTTCATCGTATCGCGTATAATATTTAGCGCGTTCCTCGTCTACGTATATTGCGTTTCGTAAATGAACTGCCACCGTTATGCCTGTTTTCGTGCACTGACATAGGTACGTGCATTTACGTCCCGCGAGACGACTTCAATGCATTTTGTCGTATTATTAAGTTTAATGAATCTTTTCTGGATTTGTTTATGTCCTCTAATTTTAAGACATTCGTCGAGCGTGTGGGTAAATGGATAGTAAAAGAAAAAGCTTGGGCTATTTGGAAGCCGACGTAACGATAATCGGTATAAACGCGGCCGCGTTGGTAGTATCAATAAAGGTAGCCAATATCGTCACATCGAAACGCCCAGTCATTAAAGCTCGTGGCTCACGGTTAACCCGGTAGTAAAACCGGCAGCGGCCACCGCAATTATCTCGGACATCGAGACCTACGTAACGTTGGCTTATTCTTACCCGCGATACGTTTTCTCGCCACGATTGCAAAAAGGGTGCGACGTGAATTTATGCGGAACAATGCGACGACGGTGATCCTAATCGGTTGCTGCTGTGGGCTTAACTGGTTATAAATTTTCCGAGTCAGCCCCACGCTACGCTTCTACCCCTCGTTAGTACCAGGATTAATACAATCGATTTTACTGTAGCTCTCTCTGGGCTACACAACTAACAACACAAAAATTTCTGAAAACGCTGCGCCAAATACGTTTTACCTCGGCGTTGTTGAAATCGACAATTTACATTTCTCATTTTAATCCTCGTTGTGTAAATGTGTACTCGGTATCCTAATTGTGCCAAAGGTCATTTAAGCTATCTCAGTATTATAGAAGGAATTTAAGAAATTCAACTTTTTGATATAAAATAAAATTGGAATATCTCAAGAAAAAAATAATGAATTTATAAACAATATTTTTATATACACGATATTCTGACGCAGGTGGATTTTGCCTGGACACGAGCAATCCACCTTTATGTAGTGAGGATTAAGAATTTTCTTAAAGGTCTACATTACCATGAAAATTTTTCAAGCCTCTGAGGGCTTCCATTTACTTTGTGGAAGGTATAAACCGCAAATTTCTTTTTTCAACGTTCGCGTAATCGCTTTACTTTATTTAGAGTTCCTGTTTTATAAAAGAAGGTTCAGAAAATAGGGTAACATTTTTTACTAGGGTGATTAGCGCTTTATTTTTATATGACCGATAATTAATAGAGCGACATACGAGGCCCTTACTTTCACGAGATATCTACACATATAATTAGTAATTTCAATTAGAGTAGAACTTTTTTTTAGATTATTTTATCTACTAATAAAAACCGTAGATTTTGATCTTGCGATGCACCTAATAATATAATGTAATATAATATAAAAAAACTCACTCCAATTATCTGCTAACGAAATGAGCAGGTTGATGAAACGCGATATGGTTAACGTAGGATTCTTTATCAAGGTTCATTTTTCACTGCTTCTGAGGGCTGGTAGAACTTTGACGGCGCGCGTAATAGAAAATGAAATACTCTAACAATGAAACATGTCACGTGGAAATATATAGAAAATAGGAGACAATATCCATTGTGTCAGTATATATAATTAAATATATTCTATTCACGTGCACAATAACTTTTATAGCAACGTTTCACTGTTGAAAATTCCCGATTTTCCGTGTATGCAGTCACCAACGAACTTAAGCGGGGATTTTGAAAGTAGTGAATTCAGCTGCATATTTCTTTTGATTTTTATGTAAAAAA